ATATATATATATAATTATATATTGATGATTTTTTGTGTTCGTTCGTTGAAACATATTGAAATGAATAAAACAGCCATGCGTCGAATGTAAACAATTTAATTTATTTTTTATACGTTTCGAGACTAGATTGTCTCATCATCAGCTAAAAGAAATTTACAATATAAAGAAAGGTTTCAAAAAAAAAATGAATTTATACAATGGAAAAATTAATTGAAAAACAACAAATTATAACACCAGATCAGGAAAAACCCACTTTACTAAAACATTTTACAACACCACAATCACATGACACTACTGTAGGAAACCAAAAAATAATTTACGAAAAGACCGAAAAAGGTAGATGTAAAAATGTATAAAATACATAATTATTTGTTATCAAAGCATAGCAACACGAATGGACTAATAGTAATGCGTCGAGAGAACGTGTAGACGGCTATGCGACCAACACGCGTGCATGGGAAGGGATATCAGGGGTGTAGTATGGCGTCAGATTTACAGAAATAATTATATTTTTTGATAACTTTCTGAGAGTAAGCTAGAAGAACTGCGTTTGTTAACACAATTAGAATGTAAAAAGATGAAACATGATTCGGAAAATCTTCTAAGGTCTACATTTTTTTCTTTATATAAAATTATAGGATGGTCAGTATTTAAACGAATGTTTGAAATTAATAATGTGCTCAGAAAACATTGTTTTAAATTGTCTAGGGTTTTTTGAATTATAAATATGTTGATTCATTCTCTTGCTAATGTATTGGGAACTTTCACCGATATAACAACTGTCACAATCTAAACAATTAATTTTATAAACGGCATCGGTGATTCGGTCAGACGGAGATTTTGATTTTAAGGTAGAAAACAGGGAACTGAGTGGTTTATCAAAAGTGAAAACTAAAGAAAAAACCTTCAACAGAAAAAAGGTTTTTTAAAAAATAGAAAAACTACCCAAATAAGGTAAACAAATAATGCCTTATATTTGCTAAATAAAGAAGAAGAATTTGAATCGGCAGTAAATATTTTTGAACAAAGGAAGTGACATTATTATTATCAATATTGGTAACGTTTAAAAAATTTAACCTATTTTTAATTATATTATTGATTAAATGTAAAGGATAAGAGTTATTTGTGAGAATGGAGCGGACTAAATCCAAATTTTTATTCCAAAAAGTTTTATTGCTTAAAAGAATAGCTCTATCAATGAGAGAAATGATGATGGAAATTTTTACAGAACGAGAATGAAACGATAAGTAATTAATGTATCTACCGGAAGAAGTTGGTTTTTGAAACCAATCAGTTAAAATAAAATTGTTTTGGTTTCTAATGAGTTTAATGTCTAAAAAACTAATGGAATTGTCATCTTCAAACTCACAAGTAAACTTTAAATGATTGTTAAAAGAATTAAAGGAATCAAGAGTGGAGGAAATGGAATTATTTTCTAAACACAAGAGAACGTCATCAACATATATCTAAAGTAAAAGAAAGGTTGAACAGAAAGTTTGGGTAAAACAAAATTTCAAGTAACTGTAAAGTTAAATCTGCCAAAGGAGGACTGATGCTAGAACCCATAGGCATACCAAAAATCTGAGCAAAAAAAATAATTTCACATAATAAACGCTCTGTCCCTCTAATTAAAGACGATTTAATAGACAAATGGCTTAAGAACGTTTCTAATAAATCCATTCCCCAACATTTAAAATATATTTTTTGCCCTCGGACCAAAATTCTCTCTCCCCCCTTCCAAAAAACATTTCAATTTCATAAAGATCCTTAGCAATCTAGAGTTGGGTATTTGTAAATTAAAAGATCCAGAAAAGGAATCAAGATTAAGATTAATTGTTGCAATAATTTTTTATCTTTTATAAAAAAAATTTAAATACCAATTCCAATCCTTTACAGTTAGAAATTGCCAGAGATTTGAAATTATGCAAAAAGTTCTTGAGAGAAAACCCTGACATTATAGTTACCAGAGCTGATAAGGGAAACCTTACTGTGATTATGAATAAGTCTGATTATCTCTCAAAAACCGAAGCGCTTTTAAATGACACACTTACATACAAACCTTTAACTAATGACCCTACCGATTACATAAACAGAAAAACTCATAAACTTATCACAAATTTAATCCAAAAAAACAAATATCCAAATCTTTAGGTTTTTCCCTTAAGGGTTTTTCATCCAGACTTCCCTAAATTATATTGCCTTCCAAAAATCCACAAAGAAGATTTACCGTTAAGACCTATAGTTGCTGACATAACTCACCGTTAAGTAATTTAACTAAATATTTAAGTACTATTCTCTCTAAGGTCACCATTTTATCAAAAACTAATGTCTCAAACTCTTTTATTTGGCAAAATATCTCAACAACTTAAGCATACCGTCTAACTTTTCTTTGGTAAGCTTTGATGTCGTTTCGTTGTTTACTAACGTTCCATGGGATCTTGCGTTGGATGCCATTTCGGATCGTTGGAATGACATCAGACCACATACAACTATCAATTTATTTTGGTTTAAATACATTTTAAATTTCATATTCAATAATACATATTTTTGTTTTGACAATAAATTTTTTGCTCAGATTTTTGGTATGCCTATGGGTTCTAGCATCAGTCCTCCTTGGCAGATTTAACTTTACAGTTACTTGAAAATTTTGTTCTACCCAAACTTTCTGTTCAACCTTTCTTTTACTTTAGATATGTTGATGACGTTCTCTTGTGTTTAGAAAATAATTCCATTTCCTCCACTCTTGATTCCTTTAATTCTTTTAACAATCATTTAAAGTTTACTTGTGAGTTGAAGATGACAATTCCATTAGTTTTTTAGACATTAAACTCATTAGAAACCAAAACAATTTTATTTTAACTGATTGGTTTCAAAAACCAACTTCTTCCGGTAGATACATTAATTACTTATCGTTTCATTCTCGTTCTGTAAAAATTTCCATCATCATTTCTCTCATTGATAGAGCTATTCTTTAAGCAATAAAACTTTTTGGAATAAAATTTGGATTTAGTCCGCTCCATTCTCACAAATAACTCTTATCCTTTACATTTAATCAATAATATAATTAAAAATAGGTTAAATTTTTTAAACGTTACCAATATTGATAATAATAATGTCACTTCCGTTGTTCAAAAATATTTTATTTACTGCCGATTCAAATTCTTCTTCTTTATTTAGCAAATATAAAGGCATTATTTGTTTACCTTATTTGGGTAGTTTTTCTTATTTTTTAAAAAAACTTTTTTCTGTTGAAGGTTTTCTTTTAGTTTTCACTTTTGATAACACACTCAGTTCCCTGTTTTCTACCTAAAATCAAAATCTCCGTCTGACCGAATCACCGATGCCGTTTATAAAATTAATTGTTTAGATTGTGACAGTTGTTATATCGGTGAAAGTTCCCAATACATTAGCAAGAGAATGAATCAACATATTTATAATTCAAAAAACCTAGACAATTTAAAACAATGTTTTCTGAGCACATTATTAATTTCAAACATTCGTTTAATACTGACCATCCTATAATTTTATAAAGAAAAAAATGTAGACCTTAGAAGATTTTCCGAATCATGTTTCATCTTTTTACATTCTAATTGTGTTAACAAACGCAGTTCTTCTAGCTTACTCTCAGAAAGTTATCAAAATATAATTAATTTCTGTAAATCTGACGCCATACTACACCCCTGATATCCCTTCCCACATGCACGCGTGTTGGTCGCATAGCCGTCTACACGTCTCTCGACGCATTCTTAGTCCATTCGTGTTGCTATGCTTTGATAACAAATAATTATGTATTTTATACATTTTTACATCTACCTTTTTCGGTCTTTTCGTAAATTATTTTTGTTTTCCTACAGTAGTGTCATGTGATTGTGGTGTTGTAAAATGTTTTAGTAAAGTGGGTTTTTCCTGATCTGGTGTGTATAATTTGTTGTTTTTTCAATTAATTTTTCCATTGTATAAATTCATTTTTTTGAAACCTTTTCTTTATATTGTAAATTTCTTTTAGCTGATGATGAGACACATCTAGTCTCGAAACGTATAAAAAATAAATTAAATTGTTTACATTCGACGCATTGGCTGTTTTATTCATTTCAATATATATATAATATATATATATATATATATATATATCTTGATACATTTCAAACAAGAATCCAAAAGTAATAAAAAACAGAAAAGTTTTTTAATAAACAATTTCTTTATTATTTATTTATTTACTGTCGACGTTTCGGAACTAGGTATGTTTCATCTTCATCTTGGACATCTGTCAAGAAACATGATCTTGATGAGATTTAAGCAAACAATACGTTTACGAAAAGAAAATGGATTTTTCTTAAATAATAAATTAATTGCAAAAAATAATAATGCACATAAATATGATAATCTGGCAAATAAATAAAGAAATTGTTTGTTAAAAAACTTTTCTTTGTTTTTTATTACTTTTGGATTCTTGTTCGAAACTCTACAATATATATATATGGACGTATTTTCCAAGAAATTCGTATACTGTATGTCTTGCAGAACTTATTTTATAAATTAAACACTATTTTAATTTGATTCAATTTATTTGCCAAATAATTGTAACGGAGTACGGAAATCACAATGATATCGATTTACTGATAAAAGGTACTATCGACCTGAACAGTTATAATCCCAAAATCTATCTATTGAATTCTAGTTACTGCTGGTACTGATAATACTGCAGCAGCAGTGTTGACTAGTGTGAACAAAAATAATGGTGTTACCATATACAATTCTTTCCATACTCCCACTCGATGCACAATTGCATCCAAAATTAAATAAACTTAAAGTTAAATCTAGTAGATAATATTTAAGTCACATACAAAATAAATATAAGTTTCTTAATAGCAACTACAAAACTTAAAGTAATTAACTTAGCTACATTCAAAAAATCATACATTTTTTCTAATACAAAATACAATTAAATTAGTTCACATTCAAGAAATAACACAAGATACAAATATTTGTTATTTACAATATTAATCATTAATTGGCAAAGGCACTAATTTATGAATAGGTCTTGTGTAGGTTCCATTTGAGGTTTTAACTTCTGCCACTCGAACTTTACCATCACGACCATAATTTAAATTAACAATTCTAGCCAAGCACCATCTTAATGGGGGAAGGTTATCCTCCTTAATCAAAACTATCGAGTTTAATTTCAAATTTGGCTGATTATCTGACCATTTATTTCGTTTTTGCAAATAAGATAAATAATCCTTTGACCATAAAGTCCAAAATTTATCTCGCATGGCAGTTAATTGCTTATATACCGTTAATGAATTTAATTTATCAAAATTTACGTTTGGTTCTGGGATTGTAGTTAAAAAATCTCCAATCAAAAAATGACTAGGCGATAAGTACTGAAAACTAGAAACATCATCTGTTATTGCCATAAGAGGACGTGAATTAAGAATTGCTTCCACCTGTAATAGTACTGTTAAATATTCCTCATAAGTTAAACAGGAGGAGCCTATTATCCTTCGAAGGTGATATTTCATAATTTTAATACTTCCTTCCCACAATCCACCAAAATGTGGGGAATGAGAAGGAATAAACTTCCAAGTTATGCCCATTGTCGCAGCTTGGTTAATTATATCTGTCTTGAAGGATTGTTTACTAAAAAGATTCCGTAGCTCTTGCAACTCATGATTAGCGCCTATAAAATTCGTTCCGTTGTCGCTATTTATTACCGAACATAGACCTCTACGAGAAACGAATCTCTTTAAAACACAAATAAATGATTCTGCTGTGAGGCTAGTTGTAATATCTAAATGAACAGCTTTAGTCACCATGCAAACAAACAAAACAATATAAGCCTTAATTCTTGGTGCTTTCCTTAATCGACTCGATCTTATCGTCAGCGGTCCTGCGTAATCAACCCCAACATTAAAAAAAGGGCGTTGAAATTTAACTCTATCAATGGGTAAACTTCCCATTAATTGAGAGGCAGTGACAGCTTTAATTTTTGCACATTTTACACATGAGTGTATTATCGCTTTTAGCTCTCTTCGCGCGTTCAAGGGCCAATATTTTCGACGAATATTTGCTAAAACCGTTTGCGTGCCCGCATGCATCAACCTTTCATGCTCTTGTTTCAATAAGAGTCTTGTAACATAATGTTTTTTGGGCACAATTATTGGGTGCTTTTGTTCATAAGAAACATCAGCATTTCTATCCTACCACCCACTCTCAAAAAACCTGACTTATCTAAGAAAGGATGAAGCGATTTCAATTCCGCCATCAATTTAAGATTAGGAGTATGTTTACTATCTTGCAGATTTTTTATTACTTTTGTGAAGGTTTCTAACTGAACCAATTTTAAAATTACCTTCAACGCATTATCTAATTCTGGGACCGATAACGTATTGTGATCACCACGACCTATCGACCTTTTAATATAAGGGTTCATTCTTAAGCAGTAAGCTAGTACTCTAGTCATTTTCCTTAGCGAAGAGAATCGCTGACAGAAAGTATCAAGAAAAGAACTGCTGTTTTCTTTAACTAATAGAACTCTTTGTTCGGGTAGAACAGCGTCTAAAGAAGGATCAACATTTGGCCACCTATCAGTATCCTCAGACAACCAACTTGGGCCATTCCACCATAGCTCACAAGTTTTTAATTGATCTGCGGATAAGCCTCGTGAAATTAGATCTGCTGGGTTGAAATCAGAAGGCACATGTCTCCAGATTGTGCCGGGAGTAATGTCAGTAATTTCTCCTACTCTATTGCTCACAAAAATATGCCATCTATTTGGATCGCCAGCGATCCATGACAAGACAATGTTCGAGTCACTCCAAAGTAAAACCTTTTCAAAATTTATATCAATGTTATCAATCACCCTTCTGAACAACCTAGCCAATAATAATGCAGCACACAATTCCAACCTCGCTAAAGTTATCGGTTTTAAAGGTGCAACTTTTGATTTCGCACACAGTAGTTTCACACTCGTAGTTTTATCTTCATATGTGGTTTTAACATAAAAGCATGCTCCATAAGCATATGAAGACGCATCAGCAAAACCATGAAGTTGAATACTTATAATACGTTTGTGATGAAAAACGCAACGATCAATAACTAAGTGTGATAATGTCCCTAACTTTGTGGCAAACTTGAACCACTTATTTTCAACGTTTGCAGAAACACTTTCATCCCAATCTTTCTTATCTTTCCAAAGTTCTTGTAAAATCAATTTTCCTTGTATAACGACAGGTGCGATCAGTCCTAAAGGATCAAAAATTTGTGATATCACAGATAAAATAACTCGCTTTGTACAATTATTAAATTTAAAAGTGGGAACTGAAATAAGAAAGTGATCCTGTTTTGGATTCCATAATAAGCCTAAGGTGTTAATAGAATTTTTATCGTCAGTGAAGATAGGGTTATTAAATTCTCTCAATTGCAAAGGAATATCATTTAAAAAACTTGGAATATTTGAAGCCCATTTATGTAAGCAAAAACCGCCTAATTCTAATAACTTAATTAATTCAATTTTAGTACGCTGTAAATGTTCTATACTATTAGCACCAGTAATTATGTCGTCGACATAAATGTCCTCTAAAAGTACATGTGAAGCAATCGGGAATGTGGCTTTTTCTTCAAAGGCTAAATGATTCAAACATCTTATCGCAAGATATGGAGCTGAAGCCGTTCCGTAAGTTACAGTTGTAAGCCTGTAACATCTTATTTCTTCCGAAGGAGAGTCCCTCCAAAGAATCCTTTGATACTCCTGATCGGCTCTTTTAATATTTATTTGTCTAAACATTTTAATTAAATCAGCTATGAAAACAAAAGGCTTCGATCTGAATCTTAGCAAAATGCAAAATAAATCCTTCTGTAATTTTGGACCAGCTAGAAGGATGTCGTTAAGAGACTTTCCCGACGAAGTTTTAGTCGATGCGTCAAAAACAACGCGTATTTTATTAGAATCTGAATTTTTAAAAACAGCATGATGTGGCATATAATAATGATTATGACTGGTGGAAGAATCAAAGGTATCTAAAATGTCCGATTTTGGAATATCTGTTTGAACGGCGTGCCCCATAGAAATATATTCATGAATAAACTCACGATAAAGTTTATATAAATTGGGATTCTTGTAAAAACGCCTTTCTAAATAAAGAAATCTCTTATGTGCAACACCATATGAATGACCTAATTGTCCTTGATAATCTGGTGTAAAGGGCAAGGCAACTTCAAACCTATTATTAATTCTAGAAACACTAGATAGAAACTGCTCTTCACAAATTTTATTTAAACCATAAAGGCGCATATTTGTCTCAGGTATTTCTTCCAAATTCCAGAATTTAACTAAATTCTCATTTAATTTAAAATTAGAATGTGTTATCAAACCTACATATTCCTTAGACCTTTCAACACTATTGTAATTGCCCGAAACAATCCATCCAAACTTGGAGTTACGTAAAATCGGGTGATAACTTCCTAACCTAATAGAACCCTGTTGTAGAATGTCGAAGAAGAGTTCAGCTCCTATCAACATATCTATAGGGCTTGAAATATAAAAATGAGGATCTGCTAATTTAATGTGTGAGGGAATATTCCAATCGTTTATATTAATATCAGCGGACGGCAAATTACTAGTGATTGATTTTAAAACAACAAAATCTAAGGTTCTAGAAAACGTAGAAGCATTTGAAAATATTTTTATAGTAGCTGTTTTATTACTAAATAACGAATGTCCATGTAAAACACTTAAAGAATTTGATACTGTATTTAGAGTGCAATTTAACCGGTCGGCAAGTGACTCCGAAATAATATTTATTTGACTACCGCTATCTAATAATGCCCGTACATTGAATGATCTACCAAATGAATCATAAACCCTTACAATGGCAGTAGATAACAAGGTTTGAATGTTATTTTTACAATTAGCTAACAAAATCGTCGGTGGCTTATCAGAAGGCTTATCTACTTGGTGACTAATCTGATCACTTTGTGCACTGTGTAGCAAAGTATTATGCAATTCGGATTTGCATACCCTACATGAACCCGTATACTTGCAACTTGCTAAGGCATGAAAACCATCCAAACATTTCTCACAACAATTATTTTTATTTGCAAATTTCTTGCGTTCTTGGACAGACAATTTTTTGAATGCGTCACAATTAAATAATGGGTGATTTCGTTTGCAAAATGGACAAATTCGCTTGGATTTTTGTTTACTAATGAAATTAACGGGTTTTGAATTAAATTTTGATTTACTACTAGAAGGTTCTGATCTAAAAGTCGCCTCCAAGGCTGAAATACGTGATGTTAAAAATTCAAAAAATTGTTCTAAAGTAGGCAAATCTGTATTCCTATGTAAATTCCATGCCAAGCAGGTTTTATCGTCCAACTTTTTTGTGAATAAAAATATAAAGACTAAATCCCAATACTTAGCGTCATCATAGACTGATTTTAGTGATAGCACCTGTTGTCGAGCAGTATTTAAAAATGAATTTAAATGTTCAAACGTATCTCTAGTTAAATTTGGTAAATTAAATAATGATGACAAATGTGCATTAATAATGAAAAGTTTATTATCATAATGCTGTGTCAATGAATTCCAAGCTATGGCATAGTTTTGGTTTGTCATGGTTAAATTCGCTATCAATTTAGACGGGCCAGAAGACAATGAACCTTTTAGATAATACAACTTTTCTACATCTGTTAAATTTTTGTTGTTATGTATTAATGAAATGAAAATATCTTTGAACTCAACCCATGAATTATATTCGCCATTGAACCTCGGCAATACTATGTCAGGTAATTTAACCTGCGGATTATTGGGTTTTATTATATTATCAATAGCTTGTTTGTTATCAACGGTGTTATCTTGGACTAATTCGTCAATCCTAGTCAATAAATCTAAATGTTTCTCACAATATTTGCGGAATTCTACTGAGTACTTTTTGGGCTCGAGCAATTCTAATTCAACATATATTTCCTCGATCCGATGAAACATTTCTAGTAATTTCTGTTTGCGTATATTTAAACCGGCAATATTGTCGCCTTTAAAGCTAGTAACATATTTAAATATAATGTCAAACGTAATTTCTATCTGTGACCTCTGTTGCAACAATGTACTTAAGTCGGCCATTTTGATTGAAATTAAATTATTACTTCAATTAATTTTATAAACTAATAACATCGGTACATAGATGAAAACATTTCTAGTAATTTCTGTTTGCGTATATTTAAACCGGCAATATTGTCGCCTTTAAAGCTAGTAACATATTTAAATATAATGTCAAACGTAATTTCTATCTGTGACCTCTGTTGCAACAATGTACTTAAGTCGGCCATTTTGATTGAAATTAAATTATTACTTCGAATTAATTTTATAAACTAATAACAATCGTATAAAGAATGAAAATATGAAAACAACTTTGAAAAAATAATATAATATTGTTAGGTAAGGCCACACGAGTATAAACTTCAGACCTTAAGCTAACTATAATGGATGTCGGTCGCGTAAAATGGCGTCAAACAACAATGAAACCTACAAGCCTACGACCTTTACAACTTAAAATTTATAACTATAATAAGCAATTACAATACAATGAAATAATTATAATATTCACTGTAGGTAATGTCAAATAAATAAATGTCAATAGATATCACTTCTACAAGGTCACCTCATGAATTCTTCTAAGTAATTCCTTTGGGACACGTGTTAGACTTTCCACAGCTCCTTATCTCCGCATATGTAACTAGTAGACTCGCGACACTTCCTGAACCCCAAGTTCACTCAGGCCACGTGGATGATGTCCACAGTAATTCGGCAGCAAATTGCACGTGTCAGCATTCAGCAAACTGCAGCAATTGCACGTGCACGTATTGCACAAAATTGACGTAGTGCACAAATTTTAGAATAAAATGTATATTCTGCAGCTCAAGATCTAGCCAAGATCCGGTTGAAGGACCAAAATTTTATGGACGTATTTTCCAAGAAATTCGTATACTGTATGTCTTGCAGAACTTATTTTATAAATTAAACACTATTTTAATTTGATTCAATTTATTTGCCGAATAATTGTAACGGAGTACGGAAATCACAATGATATCGATTTACTGATAAAAGGTACTATCGACCTGAACAGTTATAATCCCAAAATCTATCTATTGAATTCTAGTTACTGCTGGTACTGATAATACTGCAGCAGCAGTGTTGACTAGTGTGAACAAAAATAATGGTGTTACCATATACAATTCTTTCCAATATATATATATATATATATATATATATATATATATATATATATATATACTAGCTGACCCGGCAAACGTTGTTTTGCTAATAAGTGGGCGTCCATTAATCACGTGAGCGAGTTTTTGCGGATTCTTAGACCCCCCCTCCCCCTTGGTGATATTTGGTGATATTCAAAATTACCCCCCCCCTCCCCCACCAAACATCACGTGTATTTTTAGTTACGTGAAAAAACTGTAAAATATTTGAGTTTTTTTAAAAATATTTGAACTTTTTTATAATAAATATTAAAAAAAAATTACACGTGATACCTTGCTATACCGCTCCCTCCCCCTCGTAATATTTCGTGATTTTTTGTCAACCCCCCCGTCCCCCTAAAAACCTCACGTGATTAATGGACGCCCCCTAATGTATATTCTAATCAATTTCTAGAGATATTCAGATATTCAGATATTCAGATATTCAGATATTCAGATATTCAGATATTCAGATATTCAAATACTTCGACATTCCGACATTCCGATACTCCGATATTCCGATAAAGCTAAATGTACAAAAAATGGCAGTTTTTGAGAGAACTAAGCGTCCGATTTGAATGATTCAAAGAACTTTCTGCTTGTTTTAACAAAATAATTGCTTTTGGAAAAAAAAATTGTTATAATTTTTTTTTCAATTTTTTTTTCTTGAAATTTTTAAGTTACGAAGTTTCAAGTAACATTCGATGAATTAACGAACAATTATCTGACTACGTTCAGTAAAATTGCCAGCTACTTCATCATTGTAGAAATGTATTTTTTTGATGTCTTTCAAAAATTCGTTATCTACACCTTTTTACCCTATAGGCGGGGTAACTTGAAACGGGCAGGTGGCAAAAAGGTTTAAATCCTTATTATAATTTTAAAGGTATTTTACAAAATAATTACATTTTTAACTAATGCTAAAAAACTACCAACGGAAGAAAATACTTTTATTATGGATTTTCAAAGATTACCGTTTATCTCCCCCATTACAAAGATTACCGTTTTCAAATCAAGGTTTTAGCTATATATTTTTTATCTTACAAACTTTTTTTCCTCTACTTTCAAATATTGTTGTTAAACAATGCTTAACTTTACTGATTTTTGACACATCGGTGGTGGACCTTTTTAATCCCGGACCTTAATATATAATATCTATTCTGCGATAAATTCTGGGAAATTATAATTGGAAAAATGTTATTCGACAAAATGTCCATTTGATCGATATCAAATTTAGGTTCTGAATTTAAATAAGATAAATAAAAAATAATATAACCTAGAAAATGTTTTATAAATACCAATGAGTATATAATTATATAAATGAGATCTTTCAGAGCACCGTGTTTGAGAAAAATATGCCAAAAAGTGCATTTTCATATTAACATATCAAAAAACTTTATATTTTGAGTCTCTAGTAACACTTGCGGCTCGTTTACTAACGTTTTTGTATATAAATAAAACTACAAGCAAAACTACTTACTACAAATTTATCATAAATAAATAATATTCGCGTAAAACATCCTATTAAACGTAATTGAACATCATCTGTCAAAAGTGTTTGACATTTCACGAAATTGCCACCGTCCATTGTTTTATTTAAATTACGCTTCTACAAAATTTTCAAATTAAAAATGTAAAGTTTCTACACGGATTTGAAATAATTTCTCACCTTTTGGACTTTCTCTGGATTGGCACGAATTTTTCAAGACTAAGACGGGCCAAATCGATTCAGCCGTTTTCGAGTTTTATTCGGACATTTGAAAGAGAGCTCCATTTTTATATATAAGATATATATTGAATGGTAGAATCTTGAATTTGTGTATATTTTGTAGAGTTTCGAACAAGAATCCAAAAATAATAAAAAATAAAAAAACAAGAAAAGTTTTTAATAAACAATTTCTTTATTTAATTATTTGTTTACTATCGACGTTTCGGAACTAGGTACGTTCCATCTTCAGGACATCTGTCAAGAAACATGATCTTGATGAGATTTGAGCAAACAATATGTTTAGGAAAAGAAAATAGATTTTTCTTAAATAATAAATTAATTGCAAAAAAATATAATAATGTACAGAACTATGATAATATGATCAAAATGAAAATGATAAAAATAAATGAGTGGATTATCAGAACAGGATATTAAACATAATTTTAAAAAAGACAAATCTCTTAGTAATTTTGATTTACAAAATCTAATTATTCGGCGAAAAATAACTCACAAATTCATTTTTTGTTAAAAATCTTGTTTAGTGAAAAAGTGCTAACATATTTTCAAACATACAGGTAATTAGTTCAACTTTGTCATTAACCTTTTCTTAAAAAAAATTTTCCATAACTTTCAAAAAAATTCTATTATGTTTAATATCCTGTTCTGATAAAACACTCATTATTTTTATCATTTTCATTTTGATCATATTATCATAGTTCTCTACATTATTATATTTTTTTGCAATTAATTTATTATTTAAGAAAAATCTATTTTCTTTTCCTAAACATATTGTTTGCTCAAATCTCATCAAGATCATGTTTCTCATTTTTTAAACTGTATTAGCATTTTTTATAAATAGTTTACCTCGAGCAGCCGTACTGTTCGGATCAGTGCTTCAATAAAAAAAATAATATTTATCCAATCATAACAAAATTAGTGAGCAGTGTAATATAAAATTATACTCAATCCATCCAAAACTACACAGTAGTGAAACTAAGCCCCCCTTTTAGGGGGGCATGTAAATAAAAAGAAATAGTGCAGTGAATAAATAAAATAATAATACAGTGTAATCTCAGTGTTACTAAATAATCATGCAGAACAGCGAAGAAAATAGTTCAACTATTCCAATTGTACAATCAATTGAAATACTGAATGACACCTCCCAAACAAATAGTGCATACGCGCAAAACCATTTAATTAATCAACATAACAACATGAATTACCAATCACCTGAAACAGTTAATCACATGTTAAACACTTCGCAAACAGATAGTGCATACGTGCAAAACCATTTAATTAATCAACATAACAACATTAATTACCAATCACCCGAATCTGTTAATCACATGTTAAACACCTCGCAAACAAATAGTGCATACGTGCAAAATCATTTAATTAATCAACATAACAACACTAATTACCAATCACCCGAAACTGTTAATCACATGTTAAACACCTCGCAAACAAATAGTGCATATGTGCAAAAACATTTAATTAATCAACATAACAACACTAATCACCAATCACCCGGAACTGTTAATCACATGGAAACAGAACAAATTAATCAAGCAGTAAGCTGGCAGACAATCAAAACTAACAAACGTCGAAAAACATCAACAGGCCATATCGAAAACGTCAGCATTATAAAAACATCAAACCGGTTTAATGTTCTCGCAACAGGTAAACCGGCGACCCAAGCCGATAACACAATAGAAACACCAGGCCCTTCGACCTCGCAAGCTGATAACAGGAATACGGTTCAAAGGCCACCTCCCATTTTCGTCTATGACGTAGACGATATCGCTGACATGACAGGCGAAATCAACACAATAATAAACAGGGAGCAGTACACAACAAAATCATTGCACGACGATATAGTGAAAATAAACGTCGAAACACCCGAGCAATATAAATTGCTCATACAATTTTTTAAATCAAAACGCGTAGTGTATCATACCTACCAAATTAAACAAGAGAGAGCCTACAGAGTAGTTATAAAAAATATTCACCACACAACCGATACTAACGAAATTAAATCAGCGCTAGAAAAACTAAACTACAAAGTGAGAAACATTGTCAATATCTTGCAACACAAGACCAAATACCCATTAAACATGTTTTTCGTCGATTTGGAGCCTTCAGAGAATAACACCACAATTTATAAA